TGGTGGGGGCAGCCTCTCTCCTGCACTTCCCTTTGCTGCGCTCCAGCGCTTGGTTCTATTCAGGGACACGCTCTACCCAAAATTTGGGCTCTTCACTGGGCTCCGTGTCGCTTTTCCCACATTGAGAATTTGCAGAGCTTTTGCTCCGTGCCCCTGGCGCCAGCTCCTATCAAGAGTACCCGGGCCAGGCACTGCCCAAAAGGGACAGCCTGCAGAGCGAGCCGCTGGTTGCCATCCCTGGTTCTCTGCCTCAGCCCTGTTCAGGGAAAGAATGTTTTAGTTACTGTTTTGTCTGTCAGTGGTGACAAAACTAATATTGCCACTCTGTGGGCCAAAATATTCTGATTGCTGCCATGATCACGGGTTTCCTCTGTGCCGTGACGTAACACTGGCGCTCGAGAGGTTTAAGGAGTCGACCCGTCCTCATGGGAGCTCTGTTGGTTGCCCGTACTTGGATGCTTTCCTCTGAGAGCACATAAATAATAGCTCTGAGAGCAGCAAATGTTTTAACTGAAGTTTTTAACTGATTTCCTGGGGGTGTGGACAGAGCCTGAGCGCTGTGCCCGCCTGGGCAGAGGCAGGGCTGCTGGAGAAGTTGAGGTTTCACTCCGAGTCTCAGGCAGGAGCTTGAGCAGAAGGTTTTGTTAAATTGCGACTTGAGGCTCAGGCCGTGCTGGGTGTGTAGCTGTGCCCTCATCCGAGCACTCGCAAGTGCGCACCTGTTGAACTTCTTCAACAAACCCGCAGTGTTTCTCATCTAACGAGGCTGGGATGACCTTACGCTGTGGGAGTTGTTGGCCTGCGCTGAGGTGGTTTGTTGAGCGTCTCTTTTCATTCTCTCCCCAACCTTCTTGGACTTTTTTAACAGTTGCGAAGTGAGAAGGAGACGAGGAATAAGCTAATTGAAGCTGACATGAACGGCAAGCCTCAAAGCAGGATCTTCACCAAGTACGTCGCCGTCCTCTTAGTTGAAAAGAAGCTGCACAGGGAAGTAGTGGGGGACGAGCTTTGCCCGCTGGCAGCCAGCTGGCCTCAGCTGCCCTCACAAAACTCCGCTGCTGTTCGTGTTCCTTTCACGGTTGCTTTTAGGTTGGAGCACTCTCAAATGCGATTTTAGCTGTTACTTAACACACCCACAAGGAGTTGGGCTGGTGCTCGGTCCCCCAGCTTCTGCTCCCTGTCAATTTGCCCTTTGGGCTGAGATCTGCAGCTCTGGGGTGGCACGGAGCCGTGCAGGCCAGCCGGTGGGTTGTGCTGCACTAGCAAAAAAAGAGCCCAAAGTTCTTTAGGATCAAGAAATGTGAGGCTGGCACTGGAATCCGTTGCAAATGGGCCGAGCTGGAAGCGCTGGGATGTTGAGTCGGGAGATGGATTTTGTGCTTTTTGCTTGTTCTATATGTAGCAAATCATGTCTGTGTGTTCCTGGGAATAATTCGCTTGCCTGGGAGTGCTTAAAATTTCTGTATCTTGCAGCAAAGAGAAGATTCTCTATGAGGAAGACACGCTGAAGTCCGTGGAAATGGAGGAAGAGAACAAGGACTCCAGCAGTTCTAGTTCGGAAGAAGAGGAAGAAGCTGAAGATGAAGTTTCAGAATCAGATGCTGAAAAGGATTCAGGTAAGTCTTAGTACAGCCTTGGATTTAGTAATTAGCCGAGCAGTATTAGGGGATCAGTTTGAGAATGGCCTTTTTTTTTTTTTTCTTGGTTGTTGAAGACATCCTGAAAGTCTTACTTCTAGTGTCTATGTATAGAATATGGAGAACTCTGTAGCTAGTGTACTAAAAAAGCTGCTGCTTGAAATATACTAAAAGAGCTGCTTTAAATGCAGCTTCTTTAAAAAAAAGCTGCAAATATTATTTTTATTTCTACTTCCAGTTCACATGAATTTGGGATAACGCATTGCTCGTAGGTTGTACTTAAACAAGAGGGTTTTTTCTTGTTGGCCAGTTTTGGGATGAACACTTCTGTTCCTGCAAGGTGGTAGAAAAGCAACTGAGCGTGTAGGAGGGTAATAGCCTGATGTATTCAGATCAGAGAAATGAAATTAAATGAAGGGCTAAAGCTGTTCTGGGTAATTATAGAGATGAGGAACTTTTTTCTGATGGTGGTGTTTAATAATTGCAAAACATAGTGGAAAATACGGATTAAGTTCATTGAATCCCATTATGGCGCAGTGCTGGCATCCTACTCCTATTCTTTTGTCATAATTTTTATGGCTTCCTTAATTTGTTTAAAGAGCATATGTGTGCAGCACAGAAAGTTTCAATAAAGCTACTTAATTTTGCAGTAAGCTGAGGCTTACTTGCTCTTCATATTTCTGCAAGCAGAGGGGCATTTTGAGCTATGATGTGTTTAATGGTTCAACTGCTTTCACCATCAGCTTGCTTGGCCCCTGTCCCAATACACTAAAACCCAAGACCTCGCAGAGAAATGTGGTTTAAAGTTTTCTCCTGCTTCTTGTGCCAGCGGAAGTGCCACCTGTGTTCTAATGGCGATGTTGGTTGCGCTGTGAGGGGTGTTGGGAATCCTGGCTGGACTTTGCAGCGCTGGTAGTTACAGAAGTTATTTGGCTGTGACAGCAGCGTGATGTCCTTCAGCGAGTGTGGCGGAGCAGTCAGCGGTAGAAACAGGCAGGAAGTAGAATTCCCGTTTATTTGCTCCGTAAATGAGGTTTTTGCTAGAGAGCAGCCGTGGGTAGTTACGTGCCAATTCTTAGGAGTGTGGTGGAACCCGACCAGACACCTCCAGTGTCCCTGGAGCTGCCGGAAGCGGAGCTGTGCGGGGTTCGACTGGTTCAGGAGCAGCCTAAGATCCTTCAGCAAGGGGAGTGCTGCAGCCCTCAGCATTAAAATTTGTGTAAAGCCAGAGCAGGACTCTTTATTAAGTTAATTCCCTGAGCAAAGCACATTATACTGACCTATTTTGAACCACTAAAGCTAAAACAAATCGAAGACAAAAACCATTCAGGTAATGATTCAGCATCAGGCTTTGTTAGCTGTGCTCTCTTTTCCTGGAGAGATTATTGGCTCCTTTGAGAAATTTTGATCAGAATTGAAACCCTGCCTTGTAAACTTCTCCAGCCTCTATTAAAATGAGCATGAGCTTGTCCTGCTGGATGTGGACCTGGTTGTCAGCTGTGGCGTGTGGGGATGGGGTACACGGGGTTTTTGGTGCTCTTTTCCAAACAAGATTCACGAGATAACATCACGATGCGTGCCATGAGAGGACTCCAGAGATAAGTAGGGATGAAAGTAACTTGTCGTAGAAAATTATCAGTGTCGCAGTGTTGTTAATTTCAAAGACAGTCTTAAGAACAGTTAGGATTTACTATCTGCCAGATGTTTTAAATGCATGGAAGGATACAGGAGGCAAGTTCTTAAAACTATGGTAATTATTTCCTTATTCCTCTTCATTTTCTTCCAAGATTTAGTTTTCACGTAGCTCTGTAACTCTGAACAGTGCTGGACAGATAGAAGATGACTCTTGTTTAAAGTCCAAGTGAAGAGGAGGAAAAATAAAAAAGGCAAACTATTGTCATGAGTGATCTTTTTAAACCAAACAATTGAACTCCCTTGGTAACTGAGCGTAAGGCAGGACAAAGCAGAAGCTGGCAGTATAATCCAGGAGTTTATTTTGAGGTACGTTTTGAGGGGTCTCACGTTGTGATAGGTTTGTTGAATTTGCAGAGACCACAGGAAGAGATTGGAAGAGGCGAGCAGTGAAAGTGTTGGAGTGCTTCCGAGAGTAGCCTGTTTCTTACAGTGTGTAAGAAATCTGTGTTCTTCAAACCGGAAAGCTATTCACGCCGTTTTATTCATCTTGAGGACAATTAACAATTTGGCATTGGGTTATATATAAACAAGAGAAAGATGAGTGTAAAATTTCAGGGTCATTATCTGTGATGGTAACTGTTACAATGCGTAATTATTGTGAATTAAAGCAGGCCAGGGAAGCTTTCAGTGTGCTTTTAATTAAAAAAATCACCAACCAACCAAAAAAAAAAACAACCTAAAACAACCACCAAACCAAACAACTCGTAAGAAAAATTGTAGTTATTCCAGATTAGAGAACTAAATTTTTAGTCTCACCAAATTCGTTTGGGGGAGATCGACCTAATCCTCACTGGTTTCCCTTGAGCGCCTTTCATAAATCTGATTGCTGAGGTTTGAGTAAAATAAAATGTGGGATCCGCTGCTGCAGCCGGTGATGCCTGAAGTCTTGTGGTCCCTCACGCCGCCCGTGCGAGGTACTTCTGCCCGTCCTCCTTCCCCAGTGGACTCCTTTTGGTCACGTTGCACAGTTAGAGTTCTTCCCAACCTGTCATTACCACTTAAGCTTGTGCCCTTGTAATTAGGCTTGACCTTAAAAGCTGACCTCTGTGCTATAAACGACCAGTCACCGTCTCACCCAGCCTGTAAAGCCTGCTGGCTCGCAGGGCAGGTCTGTCCTCCCCCTCCTGCAACGTCGAGGATTCTCCTGCGCTTTACAGGCTTCAGGCTCAAGGACTCAGCAAATGGCAGGCATGTAATTTTTTTTTTTTGTCTGTATGGATTTCTGTGTGCTAGGTCAGGCCTGCAAGGAGAAACGGGTGATCTACTGCTCCTTCCTAAAAGGTTTGTTTGGATTCTGTGTGGTAGGCTCGAGAAGTGAAGTGCTGGTTCGGTGGCTTGGATGGAAGTTGTGAGAGAACACAAAGCCAGGGGGAAAGGCGGCTGAGACGTTGGTATCGTGCAGACCTTCCTGGGGGAGCTCTCTTGAGATCTGCCAGTCCTGCTAACTGCCTGTTGTTTTTAAATGTTTCTCTTGGCTTGCTCTTCTCTGTTTTCTGTCTCCTTTGAATCCTATTTTCTAGGAGTGAGAATGTTTCTTTCAGAAAGATCAGTCTCCGTGCTCCGAGGTGCCATCCTCACAGATGCTCTGTACCAAACTGCTTTTTATATTCCCTGCACGCGCCTCGTTTGCTAGTACTGTTTGGGTGCTCACACTTAAAATGACTTTGTTTTTTCAAAACCATGACTGTGTGAGGCATTCGTAGCTGCGAGAAGAAAACATTGTTCTGCTGGTGTAGGTACCTGGTTTCTCAGGCACGTTGCAGGTGGCTGTGTTGGGTGACCAGGCTGTCTTGGAGCCCCGTGCACTCCTGTCAGTTGAACCTGTTGCCTGAGACGTAGTTTCTGCTTACTCTCTCCCTGGTAATGTCTGGTGGATGTTCTCGTGTCAAGCATTGTGCACAGATACAAAAAAACCCTGTAACAGTGGACAGTTGCACTTGTCTAACAAGCAGGGAGCCAGCTGGGAGCTGTGGTAGGGTTTGAGATTGCTTTGAGCCCTGTTGGGAATCAGTCTTTAGCTTCATATAGAAAAAAAATAGATTTTGGTGTAGAAGAGCAAAAATTCTGCCCACCAGCAGAAGCAACGTGCAGTGAAATCCTCCGGCGGGTGCCCTGGGGGTCACTGCACCCTCGGGTGTGACGACAGGGATGGCACGTGCTGCTTTTCTTCCCAAGTTGGACGAGGTCATAACCAATCCCTGAGAGGAAGTAAAATCGTGAATAAACAAACAGTAAGAAATCTACTTGTCCTCCTTAAGGTGCTTTCTGCCAAGATTTTGCCTGTCTGTGGGGGATGAAGTTCGAAAGCTTTGCCTGGCAAATGTATCCGTCGCGGGGTTTAGTCAGGGCAAAGCCTCCTTGCAGAAAGCGCTGGTCGGCCCCGGTGCTGCCGTCGGCTTTATGATCTGAAGCGTTCAGCAGCGCTGAACTTGACTGTAGTGCTTGTGAAGAAGGGTCTTGGAAGTGCAACACTGAAATGTTTGGTTTCTCTTCTTGTTTAAACTTGTAGAAAGGAAGGAAGAGCCCTTTGCCAACCACTCCAGCCATGAAACTCGGCCCAGCGTCACTGAGCAAATACCAGCGCCCGAGCCCAACTCCTTCACTGCATCTGCCAGAAGAGTAAGTGAATCTGGAGGCGATGGGGACTCCAACAGCGCTCGAAAGCAGTGGGTTTTGCTGGGAAATGGTTGCTCTGAAACCGATTTTCAGAGGAGTTGTAAGACTCGACTTTAGGGGAGCACAGTAGTGTGCAGCGGTGACAGCGATGCTGTGGTAACGAGGTGGTACTGGCGCGAAGGAGGCTGTTTGTACAGGAAAGTTCCTCTTGAATCTCTTGCCCTCCAAAGCAAATCACGCTGCTCACAAGAGAAATCCCGTGGGCCACAGGTGCTTTGTGTCGCCGTGGGTTCTGAGATAGCTGGGGCCAGTCTCCTGTCGGCAGATCTTTCACCAGAGCAGGTTCCTGCCAACGTGTCAGCGGTGGATTTGGCATCCTCGTCTGAAGGACTCTGACTTGCCAAACGCAGTCGATTCAGTAGCATGATGTTACAGCCCGGTAAGCAGAGAGGATAAAGTTTGCATGTGACTAGATGGCTGGGCTGTGAAAGCTTTTTAAAGGTGAAGCAGAGTTACTGAAATCTTATCTGAATTCTCCAGCTCTCACGTCACTCAGCTAGATGGCACCAGGAGACTTCGTTCAGCTGAGGACTGGCAGCTTACGCTTCTGGTCCCTTTTTGCCCCAGAATGTGGAGAAGAGCTCTACGATGTGGGCACCTTGCCATAGCTTGGAGCAGTAGGTGCACGTCCGAGGGGGAAATGTTTCTTGCTTAGTCACAACTTTTTATTTTTGATGTGCTACCAAGTCTAACTGTTCATCCGGATCAAACAAAATAGAGCTCCTCTTGGCCTTGTTCAGCTCGGGCTGATTTAGCAGGGAGGTACTAAAGGTAGAAGGATACTGGGAAGTGTGAGCACTTCAGTTACCCTTTCCGCAGCTGCAGAGCAGTATTCTCATTCTTTTGAGCTGTTTAACCCAGAGTAAGGCTGTAAGGTGACAGAAAGGGGCCTGAGCGCACAGCAGTCATTCATTTTGCCTCAGTCACTGAAGACTGGCAGCTTTACCTTCTCTTACCTGTTTGATTCTTCTGTAACTCTCTTTGTCAGTTTGGGTTTTAGATGAGAAAACATCAGTGTGGAGCCAAGGCAAGACTCTGGACTAGATTGCCCAGAGAGGCTGTGGCTGCCCCCTCCCTGGAGATGTTCAAGGCCAGGTTGGATGAACCTGGCGCACCCTGGGCTGGTTAAGGGAGGGTGGGTTAGATTATCTCTGAGGTCGCTTCCAACCTAAGACATTCTAGGATTCTGTGATTGATGTGTGCTGCTCCTATATTGAGAAATTGCAGAAAGCAGCTTTTACTGTGGGTTCAAGCTTTCTCTCAAAACTTCATTAAAGCATCAGAGCTCAGTAGACTGGAAGCGCTAGAATTAGCAGTGTACGGATTAACTCTGCATCTGCATTAAAATAACATTAGCTAGGAAACATTGCTAAAATACTGCAGTGATAATTTTATCTTTGCAGTCTTGAGCCAATGAGTTTGAGGGCAGAGCTTCCCACTAGCTTCATTTATTCTGGATAATGTCGGATGTTTTGTGTTATGTAGAGCATGCTATAATAACGCTTCTGTCAGCTTGGCCAAAAACCTTGTTTACCCCAGGATCCTGCCTTTGGCAGTGACCTTCAAAAGATACTAGAGAGATGGAACCTTGCTGGACTTCTCTCCCACCTTCTAGAAATTTGGGTTTCAGTGACTTGCCTGAACCTGTGCTATTGTTTGTGTACAGTAACCCCATTGGACATTTCCTCTCTGAATTTATGCAGTCACTTCTTGAGTGCCCATAATGCTTGGGATCCTGTAATGTCCAGCAGCAGAGGGATTTTCAGCTTAATTACGTGTTCTACAGAGCTCCCTGCACCATCTCTGTCGAGCCTGCCGCACGCAGCTTTGGTTTGCTGCCCCTAGGTCCTTTATGGGAAGGAACGAGGAGTAACTGATCCTTTTTCACCTCTCTGTGTGCTCCTGGGGAGTTTTACGTACCTCAGTGATATGTCAGGCTGGAGATTCCTGATAAACTGAATAACTCCCAATGTTAAAGCTCTCTTGCTCTATTCCTTCTTGTTGCTTTTCTCCGAATCTCTTCCTCTTCTTCCATGCTGCTGCCGAGCTGTGTGTGATGTCGAAGGTGGGCTCGTACCCTGCAGTAGCACAGAGGCATAGTGGTGTTGTGTTTCGTATTCTATTTTTCTGTACTTCCTAAGGCTTGATTTGCTTTATTTCCCATACGACTTTGAGCCCCGTCTTTGCAAAAGTATCTCTTGCTGTGCCCAGGCTCCATTCTTGAACAGCAGTAGGCATCTTTTTGGAAGACTCCATAATTATAACTGAAGTTGTACATTTGAGGAACAATATATCCTTGTCAAGAGTGCCTCACGCAACAGAAAGCATGAAAGTGTGCTCTGGGATATGGTTTTGCCTGACCGTAGAAAGGTTTAGGCTAGAACAGGGCTCTGCCAGCCTGTGATCTAACCTGCTCGAAGCAGGACCAGCTTCAAGCCTACGTCATGTTGCTTTGAACTACCCAAGCTGAGCAGAGTATTAAAAACTCCCTGAGGATGGAGGTGCCCCGTGTTCTCGCTCCCTGTCCCTGTGCAGCATCGCTCCTACCAGGAGGTTTGTCTTCCTTCAGGTCAACTGGGATTTCCCATGTTGGAACTTGTCCATTCCTCCTCCTCCTTTCGCTGCAGACTGTTGAGAAGTCTGGTTCCATACCCTGGGTAAACCCCAGCCCCCGAGTAGCAGAGCAATTAAACCCTTTCTTTGCCTTCTCTTTCCCGTGCTAAACAAGCCAGATTTCCTCTGTTTCTCCCTATAGTGTTGTGGTGGGCTCCAGCTTCTGATCATCTTAATGACTTCTTCTGGACTCTCTCCAGTTTGATTTGTGTAGGGGTTTTATTTGCAGCTAGTCCCAAAGGAGTTGACTGCTTTTTTGGGTTCTTTTTGCCTTTGCTGAACAATTCCCCCTTCCTAAACAGGTGCTAATAAAAGCTTCATTGTTCCTTCTATTCTTTCTGCAAAGCTGGAGGAGGGCGTTGTGTAGGCAAAGGGAGCTGCACAATAACACGAGATTTCTTTCATCGTCCCTCCTTGGGGATGAGGGCACTACAGTAATTTGCATCCCTTTGGGTTCACCTTGAGCTATTGAAGCTAAGCGAGAAATCAAACCTTACGTTGCCAAGTGTAGCCCAGCAAAAACTGGGGCTTGTCGAAACGCTTTCAGAACTTAGCTTGCGCTTCAGCAGTGCTCTTCGTTCTTCCAAACGTCCCTTTTTTCTCCTCTGCAGTTCAGTTGGCTCAGCAAGTCAGACGAGCAGAAGGATGAGTCACCTTCGTCGTGGCGGCTGGGGCTGCGGAAGACTGGCAGTCACAACATGTTGAGTGAAGTCGCTGCTACTCGTGAGGCACAGAGAGATAAGGCTTCTTCCATCTACCGTTCTTCATCGAGTCCTCGGATATCCGCGTTATTAGACAACAAAGAAAAGGTTTGGCTTTCAGCAAAGGTGTTTTAGCACATCCCAGTTGAGCAGGCTTGACCCTCACAGGTTTAAGGTCTTTTCCCTTTCATTTTCAGTTAATCCTGGGGTTTGTGTCCCTAACAAATTTAGGATTCTTTCATTCTTTCTTTTTTTTTAAAACAAAAAAATTAATCCCATCCTATCAGTTGTTCTTGCAGAACTGGAGTTCGATGCCCCTCTAACCCAGTCCCTGCTCAGTTTGGAGTGGGCTGACAGTGGGCAAGAGCTGCTGGTCTGGCGTGGCCCCTTCTTTACTGGAAAATATTTAGAGAGTAGCGCATCCCTGCAGTGGAAATTCTCTTTCACTGTCATCTATATGGATTCCTCTGATACCCACCAGCTGTATTTGTGAATCCCATCCCACGGATCCACTCACTGCAGCTTTGCTGCCTGTGGATAGATGCTCTGACCCTGGAAACATTCAAAATCAGGACTAGGCTCTGAGCAACGCGATGTAAAGATGTCCCTGCTCATTGCAGGGGAGGTAGGACTAGATGGTCTTTAAAGGTCCCTTCCAACCCAAACTGTTCTATGATTCTCTGATTTTTAAGTAGTTCTAGCTGGAAGCTGCACCAATGCAGCTCTCTAGGAAGTTGTTTTCAGAACCAATACTTCCATGCTGGGCCATGTGTTGCCCAAGAAAATGCCTTAACCCACTTGTCCTTAGACAGGAGAATTTGAACATGAATTTAGTTGTCACTTTGTCACTGAACATGCTGGAAGTTGATGTGCAGCTGAAGTACTACTTTTGCTTCACCAGGATAAAGACAACAAGAGCTATCTTGCCACAATAGCCCCCAGAAGACTAAGCAGTACGAGTGATATAGAGGAAAAAGAAAACAGGTGAGACTGACTAAATGTGATGCTCAGCTTCTGTGCTGTCATTTGTTCCTCCCAAATACCTTTTTCCTGTATTCACGTTTCATATGTTTTCTCAGCAGTCCCAAGCACATGGGAGTTCACAATATCAAGAGCTATCTCTGATCTTTAGAAGTTCTGGTACTTTGCAGAGCAGCAGACTGGTTCCTCCACCCCTGGATTCACACATAACTAGTCTCCAGGAAACTAGATTTATGCATACTTTTTCCTTTTAGATGCAAGTGCCTCTGTCTTGGAGCTGGCACCTACACTTGCTCTCGTGTCACTTGCTTAAGAGTCACCTTCCGTCCCTTTGTTCACACATCCGCTGGTTTTTGATTCACTTGAGTTTGTGAGCTCTCTGGCGTGTGGAACTGTTTCCATCACAGGGGTTGTTTTTAAGGCAAATTTGTGTGGCTGCCCCTGAACAGAACCACAGGATAAATGGGATAAAATCTCTAGTTTCTCAAGGTCTATCTGAGGAGCTAATCTCTACAAACAGGTTCTTCGCCGTTTGTGCTAGAAGGTGTAAACTTTGAGCTTAACCTCATTTCCAGCCGCTTCCACAACAACGGCGGAAAGGCCCGTGTGGAGAAGTCGCTGTGAGCTGTGATTGTTGTGAGGAAGTCACAGCGGGTGAGCACCCGGAGAGAATTTCGGCAGGGTTGGAGCTTCTTTGCTGATCTTTTGCTGGAACCTCCCTACTGTGTTCTTGCTTAATCTCAGCCAGTGGCTGTGATTCGGAGCGCAGCAGACAATTTGTGTCTGCCGATAAGCTCGAGCGGGTTTTGGTAGCGGCTCGTACAGGGTGCCCCATCCTGCTCACCGCTGAGAAGTGCCCTTCCCGTGGTGAAGTCGGGAATGAGGTGGCTGCATGAACAGATGGTGCCCAGACGTGCTGTGTAGGACAGATTTTTCTTTTCCTCCCCAGTATTCTTTCCTTGCAAAACAGCTGAGTTTCACTTTGTGAAACCCACAGGTGTCTGAATGGGCATCAGCGTGGGCACAGCAATTGAAAAATGAAAAATAGCTACAGGCTGGCGAGTGAATGGATTTGTGCTGCATTAAAAGCTCAAGGTCCTGTCCAAGACCAGCAGAGAACAGGACGTGCTGCACGAGAGTCTGTTAGGAAAAGAAGCCCTGATGTCAGATAACTGTGATAAATAGACTACTAGTAATTTATTGATAACTTGTCAAGTAGCTTTAGGTATTGCCAAATATTTTGTTTGGGTGTTTTTCTGCTGCTAAGTATAGCAAAGGATTTGCCGTACTGATGCTTTACTGTCATTGCCTGGATGGCTCAGAGAACAAAAACTTGCCCTGCAGTTGCAATATCTGTCCGTTTGTGCTGTGCTGTTTGAAACCAGAGGGCAGAGAGAACATCAAATGACGTTATTTAGTATGATAAATTACTTTTATGGACAAACTAGATTTCGATTGCAAGTTTTCTCTCTAAAAGGGACCTTGGTCCTCGTTACGCCAAACGTTACATCATTTGGTGATTCTCAAGTAGTCCAGCAAACGGGCGTTAAGGCCAGAAGAGGTGTTTCGGTGAGTTGTGTTACCTGTCAGCAGCGGTGCTCCTGGGTGTAAGGGAAGGATTCGCGTTGTGGAACCGTAAAGGAGCCAAAAGCAGACTCCCAAGTTTTTCTAAACAAACTTTACGCTCTCTCCTGCTCTAGAGAATCAGCCGTCAACCTTGTGCGCAGCGGCTCTTACACGCGGCAGCCATGGAGGGATGAATCAAAGGGAAACGAAGCTCCCCAGTCCGGTGCACCTACTACCTACGTATCTACCTACTTGAAAAGGTACGTCCAGTTGTGTCTTACGTGGGTTCCCGGGCAGTCAGCTCTACTCGTAACCTGCCTCCCAAACCTCCACCTCCTGCTTGCTGCTTCCTGCATCAGTGCGACTGCCCTCGGAAGCCTCTTCTGCTGAGAGCAGGAAAAAAAATTAGAGTTTACTGGTATTTGTAATGCTAAATCGTACTTTTTAAGGCCATCATTTTTCTTGATTTTTAAATTGCTGAACTGATTTTAAATACTCTTGTTCGTATCACTCAAATGCGAAGTGTTCTCTCGGTTTTATGCCAGCATTGTAGTTAGATAATAAAACCAAAATTGATCATAAAAAGAGAATAAAGTAATTACAGTCTGAAAGCGTTGTTCCAGTAGCTATTGACAGGTAAGTTGTAGCTTATCGCTAATTTTGGTTTATATTAGTCCATGTTTATGGCATCGTTATCACAAAAGTGGCAGGGTTGTGCATGGCTTACAGGGTTTGCTAAGGAGTAAGACTGTTGTCTCCAACCATTTTCTCTTGGCAGTAAGGACGCAGTTTTCGCACGGCGTATGTGAAATTGTAGAGGCTGATTGTGGGCAAACTAGCGAGGCCAGAATCAGCAAAGCACTCCTGTGCATAACTTCTTGAACTGGCGGTATCTTTCACCCCGTTGGAAGGCAGAGGCTCAGATTCCTTGAAGCACCAGATAATGCCTCTCTCTGAACAAGGTGCATGAATGCCCTGCTTTGTTAAGGGAAATAGTGCGTCACTGAGTTGCCGTCTCGGTTGTGAGAGGGAAGATCAGCCCTTTGTGCAGGTACAGTGCCATCACCTCGCCTTAGTTCTGCCTAATACTGGAAACCATCAAAGCAGAGTGAGAAACAAGTCGTGCTGCAAAGCCATTCGATCTGCACTTAAGGAAGAAGGCAGAGATATTTCAAGGCTTTAGATTTAGACCCTGAACTAAATAACTGTCCCGAAGGTGGAACGATTGCTTGAGATACATGGGAGGAGGCAGATTTTTTTATGTTCTAGTCCTCACGCTGGTAGAGGTAAGTTGTGCTTGAGGATGTGTCTGTCCAATGGCCGAGCACGTACAGCCCCGCTTCCACAAAAGGTGAAGCAGATAGCCCCTTGGAGCAGCAGGCTTCTCCTGACCTGCTGATCCCTTCCAGTGACTTCACATCTATCCTGGGACACGATGACAGGCCAGCCTCCGTCGCTTGTCTCTCTCTAAAGGCAGCCTGACAAGCCACAGCTGATTACACTGGAAAAATTGTGCCTCTTGCAGCTGGCATGCCTGGCTGCTCCCATGGCTGAGAGGCAGGCCGGTCACTCACGTGGCTGTTCGCTGAAGTTTTACAAACGTTGCCTGTCTGTCTCGGCTAATCCAGCCCCAGATTTAGTGTTGCGTTGACAGAGTCCTACTGTATTTGCTTGGTTAAACTGATTTCTGGTCACAAAGGCTGAATTCTGGCCTTTCGTAGGAGAGTGTTGGTTTACAAGCAATTACAGAGAATGGCTTTGCCAGGTAGAAATAAAGCCTCCTTTTTAACAAGCGATCAGTGTTTTTGCATTATATGTACAGACAATAAAATCGTGGTCAATCTGACCTCCATCCTGTAGGATTTTCTGTAGGAGAGCACAGAGAAATGAAATGTAATTGTGTTGAACCTCCAGCCATGTGCATTAGCCTCTAAGATGAGGGCGGGAACCTGGTTGCCTGTTAAGCTTTTTGTCATTTTCAAGTATTCACAAATCTCTGAATGCAACGCCAAAAAATACAGGATAGTTCTGAGAGAGGAAGAATTAAAATCAATGAATGTCACTGACAGGATGGTTTCTGCCCGTCTGCATTTCCCCTTTAGCTTGGCTTTTAACCAGTCTCTGTGAAGAGAGCTGTGTTCTGTAAGTATTTATATAGAACAACCTGTAAACAGCAGCAACAGATCGTCTTATGATGTTGAAAATGGCTTTTCTTCTAAAAGGGAGCGAAACTTGCAGCAACGTTGCAAATGTTCTTCAGCTTCAGTAGAAGGGAGTGTTAAAGCTCTCACTGTAAGAGCAGTGACTTCTTCGTTCAGCTTTTTCTGTGGCTGTACCACTCGCCCAGAACCTCCCAGAACCCTGTTCTGACAGCCTCTTCGACGTTTTAGTGCATGTCGGCCGTCGGGCAGCCAGTTCCCTCACCTCTGGGGTAAAGGACTCGGAGGAAAACTGGCACAGGAGATGCAGTTACTCCAGCATCCTTCCCTTGACATCAGCCAGGAGCGGTGCCTCGCAGGAAGGGATCACACACACCAGAGCAAAATCACCTTTTCAGGCAGCTATTTGCTCCTTCATTTTCCGTGGTCTCATATGTGCTGCCTTACTGGGTTTATTCACATAAAACCCACCACAGCGAGTCAGGCCAGCAGCGCGTGCAGGCTCCACTTCTGACAGCACCGGCCTTTGAAGGGCAAGCTGACAAGCTGGGATGGCTGGAGAGCAGTCTTCCACCTCCCACACTCTCCTTGCTTCCAGCAAGCGTGAATTCAGGAGCCAGGGGTTGTGCTTAACCGTTGTTCTTAATAGCCACCACTGCGGCCAGCTTCCATAAGCAAATCCTATTTTGATCCCTGCAATTCCCCGTGGCAGCTTGTTTAAAAACAAACAGGTACGTGTTTTGTGCAAAGCTTTTTTTATTAGCGTATGTGGAAGCTTTTTGTAGTTCTGAGTTTTGAAGTTTTTGAATCCTACTTGCCTTAGCTGTTTTCAGCTATTTTTTCTTTTATTGATTTGAAACATTGCCTTCCATTTCATGGCTTGTTCCCTCATGGTTACGTTATGGTGATGATGTTGGGAGAGCGAGTAGCGGTGTGTCAATGCCTTCTGTATTCCTAACGCTGAATCCTGTAGCATCAGTTCATAACCCTCCCTTTTACAGGTTCATACGAGCACAGCTCTTAATTAGCAGGATTCCCCAGCTAACCTTTTTTCTTCAACTTTCTGGTCCTGTTCGGATCAAATGCGAGTGATTGGATAGAGTCCTCCTCAGGCCGGTCAGCGCCACCCATACGAGGTGGGGAGGGGACTCCCAGGGGAGCTGGCGATGCCCTCGGCTCTCCTGGGAGCAGGAGCGGGTGTGTGATGCCCCAGCACCCCGTGGCTCCGACCCAGGGGTGTGCACATAGGAGTTGGCACAACCCTACGCACTCTCTTCCTCCGCTCCTCCTCCTTCCCCTCTCACATCACTGCTCTCCCAGGCTGCTCCCATCCTCCTGTCTCCGCTTTTCGCTCCTTACCTTTCGCTTCTGAAAGAGACTCCTTGGCAGGTCTTACTCAGTAACACCTCTGCAAGCTGCCCTCCCTTCCTGACCAGGTTCTGGTTTTGCAGCTGCCCCTTGTGCCTTGGGCTCTCCTTGGCTGGTGCCACGCCACCCCTGCTCCCCCCAGGGCTGCCCCCACCTCTGCCCCTGCCTCTCCTCTCCTTCCTCGCCCCCGTGCACGCTCCACCGGCATCTCCTCAGTACACTCATTTCTGCAACTTCACGGCCGCTTGCTCTGCACGCCCACGCCAGCCAGGCTCTTCCCCTCCTCCCAGCCCATCTCCAGGGCTCAGCCTTTCCTCTGGTGCAGAGAGCCAAGAAGGAGGAGGCTCTTGCTTCCAACAGGACGTCCTGCTGCCCGCCGCGCCGGGCAGGGTCTGGCTTTCCCGAGGAAGCTTTGTTCAGGGTCCGCTGGAGGTTGCTACCCAGGGATAGTAACTCGCTCGGTCCTTTGTGACCTGGATGTGGCAAGAAGCCATCAACTGAAGAGCCCGAACGTGAGGTTCCTCCCTGTGGAGGCCTCTTCCAGGATGCCCCGTTCTCTCCTTTTGGCTGTCTGGGGACTGACTGCTTCTCCTGGGCTAGCGGGGGGCCTTGGCGTGTAAAACTGGTTTGCAAATTGGGTGCCTGAGTGAGTTGGGCGGGATCCTTCCTCCGACCTGCTGTCCTTGGCTGTGGTCCTGCCCCTTTCAAGTTTTATTTCAGCCTCAGGCCACTCTCTCTGGCTCTCACTTTCAGCTCCAGTCTGTTGTCCCCGGCTTTCCCATAAACCTGCAGCTCTTTGTCCCGGTCTGCTTTTCCTCTAGGTCAGCTTTTATTCCTGGTGCAACCACATTCCTCCATGTGCACTGGCCTGGCAGTTGTCAGGGCTGGAGGAGGTGAGAGGCAGCCTTCCAGCCTTCCCAGCCTCCGAGCCTGCAGACAGCCCAGTCTGACCAGTAGCAACCAGGAATACCAGTTGCTGCGAAAGGCGTGGCAGGGTCCTAGATCAGGTGTGTGTGCTCCTTTGCTGTGTGCAGGCAATGAGCAGCCTGTGAACGCGGCTCTGGCACACGCAGTGAGGAGATTTTGCCAGGTTCCATCAAGTCTGTGTTCAGAGGTGGGCAGCTTCTCCTGCTCAGGGTGGATTTTCTCTGAAACAGCAAAAAGGTGCATCCTCGTGAGAGCCCTTCTCCTTTTCTGCTGTCTCTTTTCCAAAGTATGAGGCACTTAAAACACTTAGAGCTTGTCAGTAATAAGGGGTTTAAGGATTTTGTTTTAAACTGGCAAAATACATATTTCCCTTGCTCGTTCTTGTATATTTTGGGGGCAGTTTGGCTAGCTATTTTCCAGAAATCCAGAGTTTGTGCCAAGTGTGCCTTAAAGAAAATTAAAGCCCGAAACCGATCGTCTTTGCCAGAGCTTTAAGCCACTGAAAACAGGTTCTTAAAACTGGGAGTCCTGGGCATCCTTAGGAGGCGATGCAGCCAGGCCTGCTCATGTCGCTCTCACCTTCCCTGCTTTAAGCAGCCTCATCCTTGCTTGTTGTTTCTACCTTCCCCCAGTACACAGGGACCCTCCACTTTGGCTGCAGCAGGACTTTTTCCCCTTCCCTCATCTTCACTGATTCACCTCCACGCCGTTATTCTCTCGCTGCAGCTCAGCTGGGCTTAGCTAAGGGGTGCAGAGCGACCCGCGACGCTTCTCAGCTCCTCGCAGTCGTTGTGCCAAGACGTAACACTCGCTCCCTTTTCCAGCCGAGCCCGGCCGTGATGATGTTCTTGTTGAATATTTGCTCTGAAGGACGTGATTTTGTGATGTTTTACAGTGCATCATTTGGTAGAAGTAGTGACCTCAGCAGTCCCTACATTTCAGCCAGTCGCAATACATCTCTAGCTACCTCACCCACTACCATTGGGTCATCTACCTCCCTGGGCACCCCGTGGCAACCTGGCTCTGCCTGTCCCACATCTCTCGGTGCGAACGCTCCTGCAGCAGCCCGCCAGCACACCAGGTAACGGCTCGCAGCGGAGAGAACGCTGCAGAAAATCAGCGTTTGGGTCGGAAAGTTCCGAGGTCTGGAGTGGCTTATGGATTGGAAGCGTGGGTGAGGAAACCCGGAACGGTTCCGCTGGACAGTCTCAGCCGGCCCTCGGCAACGCGTGTGGGACCGTAGCTTCTCGGTCGGTGCTCCCCTCTTGCTGCCCCGTTAGGCACGGCGTGCTGCTCAGGGTATGAGCCTTCTGCCTTCTCACCAAGTACATTTTCTAATCATTTTTGCTACAAACAGGGGTGTGAAGACCGTGAATTCCTCCTGCTTAATTCTTCTCCGTGTTTTTAAACCACCCATTTTAATGTGTGCTGCCCTCTACAAAAACGCGACACTAGAAGGAGGAGAATGAACTGTCGATGCTCCCTGGCGGCGGCTGGTCTCAGTCAGCAGTTGAGTTCACTTGCTTTGCTTTCCATTATGTCTTCTCTATTTCAGAGCCCCTTTCAGGCAACAAACTGATTCTGCTCTAGAGAAAAATCCCGAGGGCATCTCTGCTAGCACCCCTCTAGGTGTAATCACAAATCGTGCTGTACTCGGCTCTGCTAACGGTATTGCGAATGCCGGTGCTGCCTCAACCACAGGAAAGGACTTCTCAGCTGAGGAAGCCAGGGAGCGCCGAAGGTCAGTGAGCAGTGCCGGTGTGTGTCGCGCCTCCCCTGTGCTCAGGTCACTCGTGGTGGTGATGGTGGGGGTGCAAGAACTGTTTCTCAGGTGCCACGTGGAATTACAGGCTGCTGCCCCGACACCATTGTAAGGTTTTGAATGGAGTCGTTGCCGGCTTGTAGGTTAAATTTAGTTTCCTAATTTTCTACTTGTTTTTTCAGCACCTCAGCCTTTTTCTTTAGTAGTCATCTCAGCTACTGATCTCAGTCCCTGTGTGTCTGGAGGGACAGCCAGCCCAGCCCAGTGCCCGCTTGCAGTAGGTTCTGTAACGTGAATCCCATCCGAAAAGGGGCGTTGGGCTGAGACCCCTCCAGATAAAACTCTGACTCTGCTCAGCCAAGTGTGCGTATGCCCCCACGGAGACACCTTTGCTGCTCAAGTCCCTTAGATTCCCTCTGCAGTTAGTGAGGAAAAACAAATGTTTCTGGAGTGTGTAGAAGCGTGATACTGGAGGAGACCGAGCGAGCTCTGGCAGCACACGCTTCTTCCACTTGATGGTAAGGGAAGACTTAGCACAGAGGTAGAAGTCGGCCACGTGCAACCAAGGCGATTCCAGCAGCAGCAATTAATTCATTTTCAGTTAGTCTGAACCTCGCTCATGGTATCTCTTTCCTAGCGTGTGATGTTATTAGAACACTGGGGAAGTATAAATCTGGGGTAGCTGATGCTCTTTTCAAAGTAAATTTACTGTTGCGTTTAATCAAATATCTGTATCTATTCCTGCAAATGGGTTAGCATCAGTGAAAGTAAATGATAATAAATAAATTGCAGCAATGAGCTGTGTGCTTCTAGCTAGGAACCAACTCACAGAGTGTTTTCAGTAAGTAGATTCTTCCAAACTGAAATGATAACTTCTGAAAAATACAGGCCTTCCTGAGCGGAGATAGTACTCTGACGTGTTTGAAATGGCCTGAAGCCAAAGGATGTGAAAAGCAGTAATGGAAATGATCAGCTTGCGGAGGTAAAGCTGGTGTTGCTCAGCAGTGCCGTGTAATCTGCAGTCAGCACGTGACCTCTCCTGTGGAGGGAGGGCACGCTTGCCGCGGGCTTCTCTTCTCTTCAGCTGCAGCAGATCCGAGAAAAAAGGTGGTCTGTGCTGTTTGGGAAATACTCAAACTTTTAATGCTCTTGGGTTTGTTTTTTTCGTTTCCCAGAGCTAGCACAGGGAGCGCTCTGAAGGTATTGCAAGCGCTCCGGGTGAGCCACAGCCACCAACTCCGCGTGCAGGGACAGGGTTTGGAATAGCTCCTGCAGAGCAGCGCTGTGGGAACGCTCACATTTAATATTCGAGTGCCTCTGTGTGCTCCTCGTCGTTTTGCTCGGGGTCGGTTGGCTCGCTGTCACTCGCGATTGAATTGAGGTGAGCTGCCGAGAGAACCTCCCGGCGCAAAGCGTGGTTGTGCGAGAGAGGACAGAGTGAGGGTTGTGCTTCCAGCTCGCGCTTCGGACCGTTTTGCACCAGTATCCCCGTTTTGGCAAGGCCAGGATCAGGTTGCAGGAGCTTTAGATTTTTCCCCTGGAGAAACCCACCAGACTCGTGGCACTGTGTGCAGACAGGGAACTTGACTGTGATAGTACTTGCAGATGCCCCAAAGAGAATCTATTCGCATGCCTGCATTGACGCTTATTGCAGAATCAGTTTCTATAAATAATGTAGAAGATCTGTTTAAGACTCCTGCATTTTGATGAGAGAACCATCTCCTATGGATTATGGTAATGTAAAGAGAAGCACCAGAAAAATTCCTCCCACCTTTAATCGATGCTTTGAAACTACTGAGAGGGGGGGAAAAAACCCAAAGCACAGCGATGGTGCGTTGTGCTCGTGGGTGGAGGAAAAGCTGTATTTGTGAATAGATGTTGTAGCAGCAGGATGTACTGACTGGGGAACTGCCTGCACATTTAGGAAACACAGATCTGGAGAAACGGGAGAGGTCACCTAAATGGGAAAAGCTTGTTTTGGAAGGACATCAATTCCAGTAAAGTAAAATAAAAGAGGAAAATGGCAAACAGTTGCCAGGGAGGCGCTGTATGGATTTCAGTGCCCCACCGGCAGCTGTTGCGGTAGCATTTGGTCTGCTTCACTGTTTCCAAAGCTCCAGCTTTCTCTTAGCAACAAAAACATAAACAAGCTTATCAGCTAATATTAGATCCCAGGGATGTCTCCTATCTTGTGGCCTTAAATTATTTGCGTGAAGCCAAAAGGTTAAAGCAGAAGAGGCTGCCGGGGCTGGGGGGGAGCGACGAGCAGAGGGCTCCGGGGTGCCTTTTGCATCCTTTGGGGGCCAACAAGCCTCGCCCTGGCCCACGCGCTTTTTTCCTCACTTCTCATTTGTGAGTTGTGCTGGTCAGCAAACTCCCCGGTAGCTGGAAAACAGCGTGAATCCTGCCTTGCGTCATTACG